GGCAGGAAGGCCAGGGCACAGGTGCCAGGGAATGGACTTGAGGAGGAAATTCACAGAGGGTCACCAGTGCGGGACTCACAGAGGGACATCCATGCTTTGGGGAAAGAATCAGATTAGGTGATGCCCATAAATAAATTCTAAGGAGAAGGAGGGAGAAAGGAGCAATGAGCCAATATGTTCTGGTTATCTATTTTATTGTATTTACTGTGTCTTTCAACTTTCTCTTGTAACTTTTTCAGCAACCCAGTACAGTTGGTATTGTTATCTTCCTTTTATAAACAAAGGAGAAAAGCTCAGAGAAACCAAATAACTTGCACTGAGACACCCGGCTGGGAAGTAATAGAATTCCACCCTCAGTTACCAGATGCCAATGTCCCTCTACATCAGCGTTTCTCAACCTGTGGGTCGCGACCCCTTTGGGGGTCGAACGACCCTTTCACAGGGGTCGCCTAAGACCATCGGAAAACACATATATAATTATATATTGTTTTTGTGATTAATCACTATGCTTTAATTATGTTCAATTTGTAACAATGAAATTGGGGGTCACCACAACATGAGGAACTGTATTAAAGGGTCGCGGCATTAGGAAGGTTGAGAACCACTGCTCTACATGATCCTCTCCACCCTGGAATAATATCCCTTATTCACATATGATAAAGATTGCATTTTAAATCTATAGGAAAAATATAAACTACTGAGCAAATTGTGCCATTTGAGTAGCTATGAGAAAAAGATGAAGTTGGGTCCATATGTCAAGCTTTACATTGGATGGGCAGCATATTTAAACATGAAAAATAAAACCATAAAGTGTCTTCCACAATGGGAGAATTAAAAAATCTTATCAGAGTGGAGAAGCCCTTTCTGACACAAAACCATAAAAGAAAAAAAGAGTGAGAAATTGAAAAACATAGAAATAAAACATTTTTGGCAAAGCAAAAAGCACCCTGTTATTATTCAAATGGTTCACACACTGGTGTCCTCCGAGGTTGGCAGGAACGATCCTCTCCTGGCACAACTCCAAACCCAAGGCTCCTCAAAAACACTTCCCCAACTGCTCCTGAATGAAATTCTTCCTGTAGAGATCCGTGCTTCTCCTTTCAACCCAATGCAGAATGCCTCTGCGGGGTGTCACCCATGCCGCTGGTTCTCCTTTGTTATTTACTAACAGGCCGAAGGAGACTGTGCTACAAACTCAATGAGGAGATGTCGGCAACACAATCAGGGAAGAGATGTCCAGAAAGGGTTGGCGAAGTTCCAAAATTACCAACTTTTACAGCTTACGATCATGAAATCCTCTGACTTTTACTAAAATCTCGCCAATGCATCCACCACTCTCCATTCTCTTTGGGAGACGGGGGAGCTGAATCAGACCAGTGCAGGCCACCCGCAGTCTTTGCAGCCTCTGGTCTGGCCCCTGGCGCATCCCAAATGTCTCTCTGCAGAGTGATCCTCTCCTAAGTGAAATCTGATCAAATCACCTTAAACATCCCCAAGGGTTGAAGTGCTTTCAAAAGTCCCCCGTCGACTTTAAGATACACTCGAAACTCCTTTGCAGACAAATACGATCCTTCAAGATCAGGTTTGCCTCTCCCCCTTATCGCTCCCAAAAGTAACCCAAACATCTGCAATTCCCGCAACAGACTTCCCCGCTGGAAGCAGCAATCATGTCCCTCTTGCTGCTGTGTCCAGCTAACCCTGGTCATTCATGGTGCAGCCGCCATGTCATTTACTCAGGGCAGCTTTCCCACCCTAAGTGCTATTAATAAGGTCCTCAACGCTCCCCCTACTTTAGCAGTTCACAATGTATTCTGATTGATTGTTCACCTCCTACTTCCCTATCCTTCCATCCCTTTACCCCAAGACTGTAGGAATCTTGAGGTTAGGGATTCTCCTAGTACTTGTTATGACTCAGCATCTAGCACATTGGCAGGCATATAATAAGTGTTCAATAAATATTCATTGACTGGATGAGTGAACAACTAAATTGTTAAGAATTGCCCAGCCGGTGTGGCTCAGTGGTCGAGCATTGACCTATGAACCAGGAGGTCATGGTTCCATTCCAGGTCAGGGCACATGCCCAGGTTGCAGGCTCAATCCCCAGTAGGAGGCATGCAGGAGGCAGTCGATCAATGATTTTCTTCTCATCATTATGTTTCTATTTCTCCCTCTCCCTTCCTCTCTGAAATCAATAAAAATATATTTCAAAAAAGAATTAAACCTATTTGTAGCTCCCCATTGTTTTAATAATTAAGATTTATGCACAATAAATATAATACAATTAAAATTTTAAATTTACAAGCAACAGATTGAAGAAAAATATATATCAAATAAAGTTTAAAGAGTTTATTTAAACTTTATAGAAAAAAAAATCACTGAGGCTTTAAAAGATAAACCAGCCTGGCCAGTGTGGTTCAGTGGTTGAGTGTCAGCCTATGAACTAGGAGGTCACGGTTCGATTCCCGGTCAGGGCACATGCCTGGGTTGCAGGCTTGATCAGCAGTGAGGAGTGTGCAGGAGGTAGCCGATCAATGATTCTCTCTCATCAGTGATGTTTCTCTCTCTCCCTCTCCCTTCCTCTATGAAATTAATAAAAGTATATTTTTTTAAAAAAAGATAAACCATTCCCCTTAAAAGGAAATAATCTCAAAGGTTTAATCCTTCTAGTCTAATCCAGTGCTAGTGAATACAAAATCAAGTGTGGTATCATGTCTGTCTTTTAATGATAGGCTTGATCTCTCTCTAAAATCAATGAGAATAGGGTAGGAGTGTAGGAGTGTGTAGGGAAAGAAGAAAGAAAGGTTAAGGGATGAAGAAGGCACAGGACAGATCATAGAAGGCTCTTAAGTCATCCCTAGGAATTTGGAACAGGAACCACATTAAAAAAAATAGAACCTAAAAAAAAAAAATAGAACCTGAAAAATGACGTGATCATTTTGGCAGCTGTTTTAGCAAAATGATTCTGTCAGCAATATGGAGGATATATTAGAGTGTGGAAAAATAAAGGCCAGAAGACCACTTAGAAGACTCTGGCAGTAATAACAGAGTTTAAGTGCTTGTGTGTGCCAAGACAAGAAAAAGAGAAATTGTTTTCTAGCTTTCTGGTTTGAGAACTTAGAAGGACAGAGAAGACAAGGCAAGGGAGAGGCAGGAATGCCTAGTGATGACAAACTTGGTCACTGGGGCTTGTCTTTGCTTCCAGATGTCACTTTTGAGCTGTGGGACTTTGGGGGAAATCCCTTAATTTCTCTGTGCCTCAACTTCATCGTTTATAGAATAGAAATAATAGTAATATCTCTTTCTACAGTTGTCCTAAGGGTTAATGAAAGAAATGCATCTGATTGAAAAGTACTGAAATAGTATCTTGAATTTAGTAAGCTTTTTATTTTTTTTAAATATATTTTTTTATTGATTTCAGAGAGGAAGAGAGAGAGAAACATCAATGATGAAAGAGAATCATTGATTGGCTGCCTCCTGCATGCCCCCTACTGGGGATGGAGCCTGCAACCCTCGCATGTGCCCTGATGGGGAATCTAACTGTGACCTCCTGGTCATATAGGTCCATGTTCAACCACTGAGCTACGTCAACCGGGCCAGTTAGCACATTCTTTACACAGGTTGCAGTACAATTAACTGGGTGATATATATATATATTTTTTTTTTGTTAAATTTGTTGAGGTGACATTGGTTAATAAAATTATATAGGTTTCGGGTGTACAGTTCTAGAATGCATCTTCTGTATATTGTACTGTGTGTTCACCACCCCAAGTCAAAAGACTGGGTGATATTCTCATCCTGTGAATTTTTTTTATTACCATAATTACATTCCATCCTTTGCATCTTCTTAATTTTCCAATTAATTACAAATCACTTTCAGGGATACATGATCACATAATCAAACTTAACGAATGTTGAATAAATGTCTTGTCTATATGTAATGATACGTGATCCTGTCCTAGAACTACAAACCTGCTTTAATTAATATTTAAAATTCCTAACTTTATTTCTGGGTCAAAAAAGACAGAATTTTGAGATAGTCCCTAATGAGGCATTTCGTTTTAAGGTCTTCTAAAACTTATTTCACACTCCCTTAGTTTTCCTCCTCCCTCCTCTCCTCTTCAAATCTCGTTTCTTTGGGTAAGAATCTCGCGAGACATTGAGTTCTCATGAAATCTCCCAAGAGCCTCCGCTCTTCCTCTTCTCCAAAGCGCCCATAGGTGAGTTGCTCTTCGGCGTCTCTCTCCAAGAGTTGAATCCTCCGGTTATCACCGCCATCCTGGCCTTGGGGGCGCCAATCTTCAGGCCCCTGAGTAGAGAACTCTCGCGGTTACTGATTTCTCGGTGAAGGCAGTGTCCCCCTGTGCGGGGGGAAGTATCGGAGCGCCCGACTTGGCGCCCGGGCCGTGCGGCCCGAAAAGGGGTACGATGGGAGGGGTTGGGGGCTTTGGGAGCACGGGTAGGCCGTGGTCGGTGCCGCCTCTTACTCCGGAGGTCCAGTGTCTCGCGGTGAGTGGTGGCCTCAGAAAATTGGGGAGAGGGGGGAGGAATAGAGTCGGGTCGAAGCTTTCCTCCTTTTAGAGGAGTCTTTCAAGTTAGCTGCGTGCCACGTTGGTGCCAGCGCGGAAGCGTGGAAAGGCAGCATCCGTGTGAAGCTGTGCGAGGGAAGGGGGTTTCTGCGGAGGGTGGCGCCTGTGGTCTGCCGCCCCGGGGCGCGTGTCCTTGCGCCGGAGGGAGCCCTCGTTGCACTGAAACGGGCTGGTTGCCGTCCAGAGAGCAATGGGGCTGGCGCGGGCCGTGCCGCCCGGGTGGTGCCGGCACTGCGGCCTGCAGTCACCGGGAGGCCGGAGGGGAAGAGAGCGTGGCTGCGATGATGGCACCTCTTAGGACACCTTTGGATTCACCGTGAAAACAGCGGTTCTCTGAGCAGCTGCTGGCGACACTGAGTGCAGATTGAGGCTGTGCATCCGCGTGCTGACAGTTGCTCCGTCCTCCCTCCCAGGTGACCCCTGAAGATGGTTCGCTATTCGCTAGACCCGGAAAACCCCACGAAATGTAAGTGAACAGCACTTAGTGCGTTTCTTATTTGGGGGTAAGAGAAACGAGACAACCCGCAGTTAACCGCAGTGCCCTCTGTTTTTTAGCATGCAAATCAAGGGGCTCCAACCTCCGCGTTCACTTCAAGGTATGTGAACCCTTTATGCTCTAAGAGTCCCTGTGGGTGCTCCAGTGAGCTTTTATTTATTTAACACCCTATCCTGAGGAGGCAGCTGCAGTGATGTCTTTCTTAGGACACCTTTGGATTTACCATGAAAACCAATCAATTCTGAGCAGCCGCCCTCTGGGTGTCGGTCATGAGTGTGTCGTGACTGTCTTGATGTTGACACCGTGAGAATTCGAGAACTTCATGCTTGCTTTGAAAATGGTGATGCTTTCGCATGGTTAACCCCTGGTGTGTTTCATATTTAGAACACGCGTGAAACTGCCCAGGCCATCAAGGGCATGCACATTCGAAAGGCCACCAAGTACCTGAAGGACGTCACTCTGAAGAAGCAGTGCGTGCCATTCCGCCGCTACAACGGTGGCGTTGGTAGGTGTGCCCAGGTGAGAATTGAGGGTTGCTGTTTGAAAAGACAGGTTTTAAGGGAAAGTGACTGGAGGGGATTGGAATGGCTATAAGGTCTTCCATCAGGCTGTTTCTGGTTGCTGTGATGACAGTCTTAGGACACCTTTGGATCGCCCAGGTGAGAATGGATGGTTGCTGTTTGAAAAGACAGGTTGTAAGAGAAAGTGAGTGGAGGGGATTGAATTGGCTATAAGGTCTTCCATCAGGCTGTTTCTAAACTGGTTGCTGTGATGACAGTCTTAGGACACCTTTGGATTAACCGTGAAAAAAACCATGTTCTGAGCAACCTTGAAGTGAATGAAATAAATTGTGTGTTTTTGTTTGTGATTCTGAGAGTACGTTTACTAAAGCAGGGAACAGCGAAACGGGAATGGCTTAGGACAGAAGCAGCAACGGGAGAGACGAGGGGTGCTGCTTTGCTCCCTAGAAATGTTACGGGGAAGGAGTGAGCCAAGGCTGCGCTGTGGTCAGCTCACTGGAGAGACAACATGGGGCCGTGGAGACAGGTTCAGGGGTTTGTTTGGCCCAGGACAAGCTGCTGCCGCCTATTGCTTCCCTGGTTGCAAGTCTCCGTGGGGTCCCTTAGAGTTTAGGAGATGCTTGCCTGCAGGGGAAGAAGAGGGAGAGGGAAATTAATTGTGGTTGTAACATTTTATTTAAATCGGAACTAACTAATAGTCTTTCTTTGTTTTCTTTAGGCAAAACAGTGGGGCTGGACACAGGGTCGGTGGCCCAAAAAGAGTGCTGAATTTTTGCTGCACATGCTTAAAAATGCCGAGAGCAATGCTGAACTTAAGGTACCCAAAGCATTAACACCTTTATATGTATCCAACTTAGATGGTTTTTCAGTTAATGTTGTCCAGACTTACTATACAAACAATAAGACACTATTGCAAAGAAACAAATATAGTTATCAAAGTGGTTGCTTTAGTAATGGTTAATGTGGTTTATTGCCAACACTTTTTAAAAAATATATTTTAAAAGGAAGGGAGGGGGGGCGGAGAAACATCAATGATGAGAATTATTGATCAGCTGCCTCCTGCACAACCCACATCGGGGATTGAGCCTGCAACCTGGGCATATGCCCTGACCTGGAATCAAACCATAACCTCTTGGTTCATAGATCGATGCTCAATCACTGAGCCACGCTGGCCAGGCTATTGCCTACAATCTTAATGGAGAGATGTTAAATTCATTTAGAAGTTAAAATTAAACAAAATAGGTTTGTCTATTCTCCTTTAGCATTTGGAAATCTGGGCCAGAATTTAAAATGTGGGTCTCTGGCTATAACCCCCTTTTATTTATATCTATAATAATAAAAGTGTAATATGCTAATCAGACCAGACATCCATCCTTCCGGACAAAGCCAAAGCCGTCCAAAGCCACAGCGGGCAGGGGGCTGAAGCAGAGGCCCTTGCTCAATTTCATGTGTCAGGCCTCCAGTATATATACACTGAGTGGCCAGATTATTATGTCCACCCCATCAGTACAATGAAGTGAATTAGTTAGGCAAATAATAATAATAAAACCTTAAGAGTATTTGCTTAGGAAATTTTCAATATTCAGTATTTTTGGAAGTGT